TGGGGATGTGAAAGACAGCATAGTCAACAATATTTTAATAACTGTTAACATAAAAACATCAAATCTGCAAGGATTTTTTGTGAGTTTATTTGAGCCAAACTGTCCACAATTGCCAGGAAGCAGAATCTCAATGGATTGGGATAATGCTCCAGAGCAGCAGTCGGTAACTGGTGGTCCGTGAGATCCAAAAGGTTGGCTACCGCTGCTCCGGAGATTGGAAGGTGTGTTTTTTAACCTATTTTTATACATTACAATCAAAGGAGGAGAGGTAGGTGGGCTGCAGGAAACCCACTGGGGATAGATTAGGGAGGCTGGAACCTCTGGGATTGGATAAAGAGTAAAATGATGAACACATGCTCCCTTTACTTAGGTGGGTGCAGGGTAGTAACAGTCACTAATTAACATGATGACAGTAACAATGAAGAATCTGTGTGCTCTGTCCTGGCACCCAGCATTTGGTTGTGCCCTGAGGGGTCATGAAAAAGAGAGGTTAAAGTTACCCTGACATCTCACAGGGAGGTTACCTGAGATGCAGAGAGACAATAGGTTCAGTTAAGGTAAAGAGTGACCTTTGTCCAGGAAGATACCGGCTGTCCTAATTATGCCCCAATTAATTGATTATCTGTCTAGACTTAGTGATATAAACACAAGTGACCAGGATTCAGCAATAACGGCCTATCCCCTGGTACTTCAATGTCTAGACACTGAGCTGAACTGGAACACAAGACAGAATGAATGTGCACTCGCAAAGGGTTTATTTACCGATTCCTAGCGGGTCTTGGGCTCCAGCAAAGGCCACCTGGCGATGCATACTGAAGGGCAGACAGACAGGTAGGCGGCTGTAGTTGGTTCAGGCTCACACAGCAGAGCAGTCAGGGGCTTGTCTCTCGGAGGATGTGGAGTCCTCCTCTTATCGGGCAGGAGACCACAACTGAAGATCATCCTAGGGTTACATAGACCATGGTAAAAAACTTGTGTCCTCATCAGTGTGGGCCAGACGGTGTGCCTTATGCCAGGAGTAGGACGTTTACACTTTAAGGTGCAGAGCTTTACATCAAGATAGTGGGGTGTTCGTTAATTTTGGAAGTTACAGAGTATTGGGAGTTTCCATACAGCAAACATTTCACACAATAATTATTTCATTCATTGGAGGGTTTACATTATTATAACACCCGCCTATGACCTGACTACCCACCATCACTGCTTTTAGTTAAAATTTTAATTCCAGACCATGCTTTGTGGTGACTTTACCAACAGGTCTCTGAGTTTGCAGGACGGCCATGTGGACCCCCCCTGAGCTGGTCCGGTTAGCACGTGGCCCCCCTCATCCACATGCTGCTTACTTAGGAGAAGTATAAGTCACGCAGAAGCCAAATGTCTCACTTCCTGTTTAATAACATCAAAGAGAACTCAAAGGATCAGGTTTTCTTGATCCAAGATGATTAGGCTTCACATTTCAAGATACAACATGATGGTGCTTCCCTGCTTATGCAATAATTGTTAGGGCCATAAGAAATGGCTGACAGAAAGGCCCTGTCTGGCTCCATTCTGAGCTGTTGATCGGAGTACTGAGTTATATGGCACTTTTTTATCTTGTGACATGCTTGTCCCTGGGGCACTTCTTTGGAGGATGCACACCACCTATCCAACTACAATGACAAGTTACTTCTCAGTCAATGAATGCTAATTAAAATGCTGGGGGAAAGACAGTCTTAATTGAATAATGAGAATAATGCAGCATACTTTTGTTTAAAGCTTCTTGTAAGCTGAATTTAGGAATCAAAAATATGATCTCTAGGAGCTCACAGACAAAACTAACTCTCTTCATTACTTAGCCTGTGTATCACTAAACTAAATCTGCATCTTTTTCTTTTCTCTTGCTTTTTGATAATAGCCATCCTAACAGGTGTAAAATGACCTCCCATTACTGTTTTCCATGATTGCATTTCAACAGGTGTACATTTCTAATTGAACTTATTGGGGTGGCATTAGTTAATAGAATCATAGAGGTTTCAATCTGCATCTTGAATAGGAATTGTTTGAAAGCTTTGGGAGAGGCTAAGTGTCAGCTTCACATTTGTCTCTTGGAAAATGTTTGTGAAGCTGCTTCTTAGTCCCAGGTTTTGTGAAATGTAGGGTGGAGTGGAAGCAGTGGTGTGGAAATCTACTTTTCTTTACTCTTGGAGAGGTAGCTGTGATCTCCTTCCCACATAAAGGTCTCTAGGCAGGAATACTGAAGCTTTTATAAAGCTATAGAACTTGATAACACCAAGATGAGAAGCATGCACAAGGAAGTAAGCATGTGGTTTAGTGGAAAGAATGTTTAATTCTAATCTTAGCTTTTCCAGTAATTCAAGACAGGATGTAAATAATTTAGGCTTGATCCTGATTATTGAATTAAGCCTCTTTTTGGGGGAAAAAAGAGATATTATATTTTTAAATAACATATATATATTTTTAAGACAATCATATATATATGACTCTAATATATATGTGTGTATATATATATATACGACTCTCTCTCTCTCTCTCTATATATATATATATATATATATATATAGTAGTAAAATATAAATTATCCCAAAATACAAAATGCATCCTTCATCCCACACAAGGTCTAGTTTTCATTCTGGTCCCGTCTAGCTCCTAACATAATTGGATTGACCTCCATGCCTCTCAGTTTCCCAGTTTCCTTTGGCTCTTCCATTCCAGGAACAGTTCATTTCAAAAGCTCCAGGACTGCATTAAATCCAACCCATTCACTGTTCTTAGAGGTCTATGGGAAAAGTAAATTCTATTACCTCTTTTTCTGCCTAACCACTTTTATAAGTAAATTCTGAGCAATCTGGATTCTTTGATTGTGAAAAATGTCCCGAAAGCCACCCATTGGGAGGCCTCCCACATGCTGACTAACCCGCGGGGCGCAGAGGCCTGACAGCTCCAGCATTGAAGTTAGACGCTCCTTATGAATATGCAACAACGATCTTTCACTTACAAAAAGAAACTGATATGTCCATTATGGCCTGTGGTTAATCAAACCCCCATTCACTCCCCTCTGCTTAGAGAACCCTCATCAAGGAAATGTGCTGCTAAGCAAACTTAGCGGCAAGAACCAGGTTCTCATGAAAATGACTGCCTGGAGGCCAGCCTGCTGAGCAGAAAGGACCCAGGGCATTTCAGCCTCTGATTTGATTTCCTAGAAAATCTGAGCTCATCTTTTAGTTAAAGAAGGATTTGCAAGTTGCTTGCACGTTTTGCATTTTAACAAGTTAGAGTTTACACACACCACACACACACACACACACACACACACACACACACACACACACACACACCACACACCACACACACACACACACACACACACCACACACACACACACACACACACCACACACACACACACACACCACACACACACACACACACACACACCACACACACACACACACACACACACACACACACACACACACACACACACACACACCACACACACACCACTCCTACCAGGCCTTTCCATTTGCCTCTCTAACTGCTTCTTGGAAACCATCCAAGCTCAGGCCAATGAATGCATAATAGAGAAGCTGCTGATTTTCCCAGCATCTGGTGAATTTACAATTTTTATTGAATCTTACATAATGCATCATCAATATTCATTTTTTCATAGACATTTATCTTAGTTATTCCTACCTCCCCAAAGAAACACTGTCCAGAGAAAACAGAAAGGACATTACATGGCAAACTTTTTATGAAGAGTACACAGGAGCAGAAATTCACTTCCTAATTTTGCAACTAATTTTCAGTGTAACCTTAAAACATCATTTAAAACTACCTGTGCCATGGATTCTATAGTCCAACAATAGAGAAAAACATTTCTATTACATCAAAACGAGGCTTCAATCCTGCTCACACAATAGCTTAATATCTTTCATAACTATCTGAGTTGTCAGATTCCATCTAGGTTAGTCAAAGCCTCTGTTTTGAAGTATTTAGAATTAATTTCCTTTGATAGATAACAAGTTCAGTGATCACAGCTCCCATTCCAGGCAACACTTTCAATTTTCCTCATGAAAACATAATCCAAGGAAATGTGATAGATTTCAGGCATTTGATATTGCATTCTGGACAAAATAAAAAGAAAGATTAATCTCTGATTTATTAAGTTTATTTTTTTAAACTACTACACTAGATAGTGGATATACATTATAGATTGTCACATAATGTTCATATTTAATTGCTTTATTCCAAATAACATTGCTTTTAACCTTTCCTAGGATTATTTTCTTAATAAACTTGATTATAACATTACTAGTGGCCTGATGCATGAAATACATGCACATTAAAAGGGGATTAATTTGAAGAAGTATTTTAAAATTGAAATTTGCCCTTTCTCTATAATAGAAGTGTCAGAGATGAAAGAAAATTAGTAAAATGTATATGAAAATCTTACTCCTGTCAGAGTCTGGGGTGCACTGTGGGACCCAGAGTCAAGTCCCGGCCCACCTGCAGCTCCTAAAATCATGTGAGACCCAGCCCCAGCCAGCCCCAATCCTATTGGGTGAGATCCAGACCCAGCAGGCCCACCCTTGTCAAGCCCTGCTGGGTGTGGGGGGGAGGGATGGAGGGGGGGCGCAGCTTCAGGTGCCCTGTCAAACCCCACTGGTTGGGAGGGGTGCAGCCTCAGGGCCCCCATCAAGCCTTTCAAGTCCTGCTGGGCGGGGGCGCAGCCTGAGGTCCCTGTTAACGGCTTGTTAAGACTCCTTGCAGGAACTTGGCCTCCACTGTGGATGCAACCATCTTGTGTTACGGAAACCCTACCTCCACTGTGAGTGCTGCCATCTTTATGATGGCATAATGGTCAATTTACATATTCCCTCTTTTTTAGATAAAGTGTGTCTACCCTCAAATAGTCTGTTTTGGTATTGATAGTATCTATACATAAAACCCTAAGCAACCTTTCAACCAGTTGATTGTTGGACTGATTGTAATGATGCACACTGACCACCAGGGGGCAGACACTCAAAGCAGGAGCTGCCCCCTGGTGGTCAGTGCACTCCCACAGCAGGAGTGCCGCTCAGCTGACCAACAGACACCAGACGCCAGGCTAGTGGCTGGCAAGTGCAGCTGCGGTTTTGCGAGTCTCTCTCACCATGGCTGCATCAGGGCAGGCGCACAGGCCGGGATGAGCAGGAGCGGCGGGGAGCCTGGCTAGGGCTCGGGCTCTCCCTGGCTGCCTGCTGCCAGGCCAGCATGAGGACTCCCTCGGCGCACGGTCCATGAAGCGGGCCTCTAGTTTAACGTAAGATAATACGTAACGACAACTGTCCTGTAAGACTTTTAAACTGCACTTCCTGAGGGTGGAAACTGTGTGTTTTCCTTTGTATCGCTGGCACAGTTTTTGGCATATGCACGTTTCTAATTAATCAGTTTTGATTAAATAATAACTAGATAAATAAATTTAAAAATTTCCATTAATTTGATGGTGGCCATTTTTCAATGCTTCTCAGAATGTGGTTCTGAATCATCTGAGGATTTGTTATGGGATGAGAGTCCTATGCCCTGCCTGTACCTGAGGCCCACTGAATCTCAGTCTTTCTCAGGATCAGGAATCTGTAATTTTAACAAACTCTTGAGTGGTCCTTGGACATATTTCTGTAGCGAACCTCTGCTTTGCTTTTTTTTTTTTTTTTTTTTTTTTTTTTTTTTTTTTTTTTTTAATCTAAAAAGCATCATTTTTGGCTGTGCTGGAACTCTTCAGTCAACATGAAACAAGTGGTGATTTTAATAATGTGAGAATCTCATGTTCCAAAGCTTTCATGTTCAAACTTGGTATGAGGTCCTTTATTTTTGATATTACAAAACCTGTTGGCAATGCCAAGCCTAGGTAACTATTTTCTGCTAAGTTTATCTCTAATGTCACATGAATGAAATCAGTTTCTATTATATCTGTTTGGCCATCTGATTGTCACGGTTGATTAGTTAAGGTTTTCCAATAAAAGGCAAGTATGTGTATCTGTGTGTGTGTTCTCATGTGTGCATTTAAGTGTTTGATTTTCTTTTCTTTTATTCAAGTAGTTCCTTAGTTTGCAACTAGTCAAGTGTATCTTCTTACTAGCATGGGTCATGCCTTCTTCTTCAATCAACTGTCAGCATGTAATGCCCTTACCTTCTTTTCAGGTGTCTGTATGTGACCTCTGTCTGCTTTGTCCACCTCTCTGGGAAAGTTCTTTGTGGGGCACGTAATGATTTTTATATTCAGCCACGAGTAAAACATGTAAACAAAACAGTATTGGACATGTGGGTCTAAATTCCTGAACGATATGCTCCCGAGGGTTGCCATGGTGTAGATTAATGAAGGATCCGCCTCTAATAACTGCTGGTATGGGTCAGGGTCTCATCAAAGCCTCCAGTGAAGTTCTTCACCCACCTCCTTTTCTAGGAAGTGACATGCCTGGCACTTCTGTCAGCACTGAACTTACTGCTTCTGTAACATGACTAAATGTTAATGTTAATGTTAATGTTAATACCAAAACAGACTATTTTGGTGATGGCATATCTTTTTTAAAAAGTTTTCTTTTATTTGCCAAAACCGGTTTGGCTCAGTGGTAGAGCGTTGGTCTGCGGACTTAAGGGTCCCAGGCTTGATTCCGATCAAGAGCATGTACATCGGTTGTGGGCACATCCCTGGGAGGGTGTGTGCAAGAGGCAGCTGGTCGATGTTTCACTCTCATCGACATTTCTAGCTCTCTAGCTCTCTCTTCTTTCCTCTCTGTAAAAAATCAATAAAATATTTTTTTTTAAAGTTTTCTTTCATTTTACCCTCAATCTCTCAAAAAAAAAAAAATCAGGAAAAGTCCAATATGAGATGCTTAATTCTATGCAGGTGACAGTATAGTTATGTGAATTAGTAATTAAGTATATATAACTCCGTTTCTCAGAAGTCAAAGGTCCAGAGAATTAAAATAGATGATGGGGAGAGAGGTACACACTGGCATATTTGTTGAAACATCATCTTTTCTGGGCCCACCTCTAGCCTCTGGAGAGCTCACATATTCTCTCTGCAGGGCCTAGGGTCCATTCTTATAGTGCTGATCATTCTCTCCTCCACTTTATGGCCTGCATTCTGGGTGTCTTGGGATTTGATAATTTGAAAAAATTAAAGACAGAGAGAATCTTAAAAGCAGCAAGAGAAAAACAATTATCTACAAGGGAATAGCCATAAGAATGTCATCTGATTTCTCAAAAGAAAAATTGAAGTCTGGAATGGATTGACACAAAAATATTCAAAGTGATGAAAAGAAAGAATCTGCAATCAATACAATTCTACCTAGCAAGGCTATCATTAACAATTGAAAGGAAGACATAAAACATTTCCAAGCCAAGAAAAAGCTAAAGGAGTTCATTACCATCCAACCAGTATTACAAAAAATGTTAAAGGGACTACTTTAGGAAGAATAAAAACAGAAATATAAATATGAATTACAAAATGGCAATAAATACATACCTATCATTGGATTAAATGTTCTAATCAAAAGACACAGGTAGCTGAATGGGTAAGGAAACAAGACCCATAACATGTTTTTAAGGGATCCACCTCAGAACAAAAGACACATAGAGACTAAAAGTAAAGGAATGGAAAAAGATATTTCAGCCCTGTCTGGTTTGCTCAGTGGTTAGAGAATTGGCCCATGGGTTTGATTCCCAGTTGAAGGCATGTACCTCAGTTGCAGGTTCCCTAACCCTGATAGGAGAGCATGCAGGAGGCAACCAATCACTGTCTCTCTCTATCTTTTCCTATCTCTCTCCCTCTCTCCCTCTTCCCTCCCTTCCATGTCTCTCTCTTCCCTCTCTTTCATTCTCTCTAGAAATCAATAGGGAAAAAATATCTTCACATGAGTATTGATTTAAAAAAAGATATTTCATGCAAGTGTAAACAACAAAAAAAGCTGGTATAGCAATAGTTACATCAGACAAAATAGACTTTAAAACAAAGGTTATAATAAGAGAAAAAGGATATTTCATAATGATAAAGGGATAAATCCAACAAGACAATACAAACCTTGTAAACATTTATGCACCCAACAAAGGGGCACCTAAAAATATAAAGGACAGATCAAGGAGGATACAGTCATAGTAGTGTCGTTTATATTCCATTGACATCAATGGGTACATCTTCCAGATATAAAATTTACAATGAAACAGTGGCCTTCAATGACACATTAAGCTACATAGATTTAATTGATACTTTCAGAACATTTTGCCTTAAAAGAACAGATCATATATATTTTTCAAGTGCACAGGGAACATTTTCCTGGATAAGTACTTGTTAGGCCTCTCAACAAGTCATTAAATTTAAGAAGACTGAAATTATCCCAAGCACCTCCTCCTAATACAGTGATTAGAAACTAAGAATCAATTACAAGGAAAAACTGAAAAGCACCCAAACATATTGAAGCTAATTAGCATTTAGATCAAGGAAGACATTTTTAAAAAATACATTGAGATTAACATAAAGAAAAACACAACAACCCAAAAATCTATGGGACAAATTAAAGTAGTCAGAACAGAAAAATTGATAGGAATACAGGCTTAATTCAAGACACACACAAAATCTCAAATAAACCTGCTAATCTTAACCTAAAGGGACTAGAAATAAAACAACAAAAATACACAAAAGTGAGATGAAAGGAAATAAAGATTAGAGCAGAAATAAACATAATAGAAACTAAAAACATGAAGAAATATTAAAATCCAGAGCTGTATCTTTTAAAAGATAAACAAGACTGATAATCCTTTAACTAAACTTATCAAGAAAAAAAAGTGGACCCAAATAAATAAAATAAGAAATCAAAGAAGAGAAATAACAACTGACACTACAAAAATACAAAGGATTATAAGAAAATCCTACAAACAACCATATGTCTTCCATATTAAGCAATATGGAAGAAACTGATAAACTTCTAAAAACATACAATCATCCAAGCCCAAATAAAGAAGAAAAAAACAGAAATTCTAAGCAGACTGATAAAAACCATGGATAGAAAAGCATTAATCAAAAAGCTCCCAACAAACAAAAATCATTGACCAGATGGCTTTACAGGTAAATATTACAAATCTTTCAAAGAAGACCTAATGTCTAACTTAAAACTATTCCAAAATTCCTAGAGGAAGGAAGCCTCCCCAAGGCCAGCATTATCCTCTTTCCAAAATCAGACAAACACACTACAAATAAATTAATTATAGGCCTATCTCCCCAATAAGTATACATGCAAAAATCCTCAAAAATATTAATAAAACAAATTCATCAATGCATTCTTGGCCCCCAGTGCCTGGGCTGAAGGTCAAGCTGACAACACTCCTGCCTCTGGAAGGTGTGTTTCCAGGATATGGCCCTGCCAATGCCACTGGATTCAGCTGACAATAATTAATGCTCATGCGCCTTCTTTTGTTTTTAAGCTACTATTATAAAAGCAAAACTTAAACATCAAGAACAAAGCTCTGATATTTAAACAATTGCAAACAATGCCAATGCAAAAACCCACATGTTATTATTTTAAAACTTGAATGTCAAGAGCAAAACTTTAGCTATTAAAATAATAACAAAATGATGCCAATCCAACACAGCAATGTGAGAGAAATCAAACTACAGACATGTTAACAGTTTTAGTTACTAAATGAAAGTTTCTTTTGCTGCTGGTGTATATTAACTCAGAGTCCTCGGACTTGTCTAAGCAAGACTTTGCAGAACACTGGCAGCTAACCAATGCTAGCATAGCCAGAAAATGGTTGAGGGAGTAGCTTCCTCTTCTTGCTTTTCTACTTTCTGCTGGGCTGCAGTTGTTAACTTCTTCAGCTGACTCCATGATGGCACCTCTGTCCCTTGTGTATGGTTTATATTCTTCTTCCACTTTACCATCATTGGGACAACTCTCAGTCTTTTTGAGTGAAGAGACAAGGAGTTTCTCTGGGTCAATTGTGATGATGCACATAATGCTCTGGAACCCAGATTGGCTACACTGCTCCTTTCGGAAAGATACAAACACAACCTCTTCCCCACATCATTACTGAATCTGGGAAAACTCTTGTCTGGTTTGTGCATCCTTCCACCAGGCTAATCCGGTGAAGGCTGTTGTACAGGAGACCT